GATGTGTATAAGAGACATATTTTGATGATTAAACAAGAATTATTTTCAGATCTGTATTTAGCAAAAATTTTTAAACTTTTCAACAAAATCTTTCTTTCCGCGTACAAAAACCTATAAAAATCTGTTGCATGTTTTTCAAAAAGAATATATATTTCCGAAAATAATATTTTCTATTAGATTTCCAAATTTAAGATTAAAGATCCCTTTTTTAAAAAAAATCCATGTATTTAATTTTCAATAATAATTCAAATAAAGAAAAGAAACAGCGCATATTTATTCAAAAGTTTTCTTTCTACAGTAAGTATAACATTGCAAAAATTAATTTTCTCTATTACGTTTCATAACTGAGCGTAACGTGAATGTGAATCGAGTGCATCTAACGCGTAAACGTCTTTATGCGCTCGGCGCCGATATTATATCGACACAAAGTTCGAAGCGGCGCGTGCTCAACCGTGCCGAGATCACCGCTGTGACGATCGCCGTTTTATGGAAGAGATGCCGTGAAATATATAAAAAATTTACGAGCGACCGGCCGCATCACATCCCTCGTCTGGCACAGCCACAGGGGCAAGGTCTTCAGGGTCAACGAGTTTCTTAAGCCGGTGTCGGTGTCGGGAGAAATGCGCGGAAATTTCTTACGCGTCAACCGGCCTTTGTCGTGAATTCACGACACGGGGGGGAGACGCGGAGCGGAGAGAGAAGCGCGTGGACGGAGATTCTCGTGTCCTTTTGTACGGGCGCGAATAATGCGGGATGTATCGCGCGGTCAGGGAACGAGAACGAGATCGTTCGTCATCGTTAAAATAAATTCAGCAAATTCCCTTCAATTTGCTGATTGTGTTGCGAAGAGCAATTTTTAGCTCGAATCCCGCGGGGGGTGTCCTGCTCCCTGCCGACGTGAAGAAAAATCGCCATTCATAGAAATAAAGTATATATGTATTCGTATTCCTGCTTGGACCACGTGAAAATCAATGTATAGGTATTCCTATAGATTCATTTGTTGGTCCACGCGCAGAAAAAAGGATTAGCCAATGAAGCTAAAATATAGTTATGGCAGCTAAGATGGATCATTAAAATAGGGACAGCTAATGTCGTTGCTGCCGAAGTTCCATTTATTAGTTATCAAAATGTAGATGCTACAGCAAAAAATATTTGCTACTAAAATCAAATGATATTTAGCCGAATCTACTATGCTATTTCATCTTTCGCAATAGAAAAATAATATTTGCAGTATATAGCTTATATACTGCAAAATATAAATGCTAAATGCGCTGTAGATGTGCATATATGGCAGTGTTACATTGCAAAAACAATTACAAATCAAATTTTCGCGCGTAGCTATAAACTTAGCTCTGTGTGCTAAATGTATGCATAATAAGACATTTAGGTACGCATGCCATCTTTTTAGCTGCCTGTACTAATAAAAACTAATATATGCTAATATATGCTAATATAAACTAATATATGCTTTCAACTTTAGTTAATAAATTTTTTTGTCACAGTGTATGCTTTTTATCTGTAAATAGACAGAACTTGGCAATGACATTAAGGCGCGTAGTTCTTATAGCTAAATTTGATTCAGCTATTGAAATTTAGCTACTATTACTAATTGCAAGTCATTTTTTTGCGTGCACGCAGTTGGACGCGCGTCCCACGTCAAACTAATGCAGAACGCCGCGCCGCGTCCCTTCCGGAAACGCGACGTGGTTTCTCTCTCGTATCGTCGCGCCGCCGCGCCGGAGTTCGCCTAACAAGGAACGCGTTTTCGCTCCGTACGTTACGTCAGCAGGTCGCCTTGAAGACGCGTAGCCTTGGATATCGACCGACCCGAGTCGACTCCACTCGACTCCACTCACCTTCGCCATTCGGCTGTGTGTTCGCTCCCCCCCTTCCAACCCCTTCCTCCTTCCTCTCCCCTGACTATGTGAGTCCCGACTGCGATCCCACGCGCGCTGTCTCTCTCTCTCTTTCTTTTCCTCTCGCTCTCTCGAGCCATCCCCGGCAGAGCCGCGGCGACGCACAGCCTCAGCCCTTAAAGACTTCGAAGCCTTGAATTCGCCAAGTAGTATAGGCCGTGCAAACGCGCCGCGCCGACCAACGCGCGCCGACTTTGCCTCGGGCCCGCACGCGGCTACATGTCCCGCCGGCGAGCGAGAGTTGCGAGCGAGACGAAAGCTCTCGCTGCGATACTCGAAGGGTGTCTGGCCACCCTCTCTCCTCCTGCTCCCTCCCTCCCTCCCTCCCTCCCTCTCTCGCCTCTCGCCCGGTCTCTTACTCTCCCCGTGTCCTTGCTTCAGGACGAAGCGACCGTGCTAATTCCGACGACGGCGGCGGGGGGCGTGGGATTAAAGCCCACGATGAATTATTTTTAACCGAAAATCGATGCGCGCGCGCGACGCGGGCTGCGTGTCCTCCGAATTACCGCGCTTCACATTTACGGCAAATAACATCAATCTTGGCTATACGGATGCGGAGAAGGGGGAAGGAGAGGGGTGATAGCATGTACAAGAGGCCTCGCGTTATTGCCCCTATCCTGGCCTCTTTCCCCGCGTGTTTGCGCGATAGGGTGCGAACCCTACACCTAATTCCATTGGGGACCGATTAAACACACGATGAATTATTCTTTATGTTTCGCAGCGGGCGCTGTTTCAGGGTGGGCAACTGTGTGTAATACTTTCCACGCGTCGCCCCTGTTCCGCAACCACGTCCGTTTAAAAAGCTAATTAAAAGTGGAATGTTTAAAATAATGTCTCGCTCCCCCCCCCCCCTCCCGTCTCTCCCCGCACGCGCGCGCGCGTGATCGACGCGAGGGAGGTGACGGCGAGTTTCGGCTACGAGTGATCCCCCGTCGTTACAGCTGTCACTCCTCTCTCGTACGCGCCGGTATCTCGCAAACTCTCCCGGAGTGGCATTTTCACCCCGCCACCTCTCCCCCCCTTCTCCGCGTCGCCGAGTCGGAGCTTCGTGCTTTACGGTCCTTTGTCACGGGGGTTCACCCCTCTCCCCGTTTTTCCACTCTCCGTCCAACGAACACAGCTCATCCCTATCTCTCCGTCCTCCGCGACGCGAATTCGACGTTGTCTTTACCGTCGGGATCCGTCGGCGGACGCGGGCGCCGCGTCTGACGCGCACGACCGACGCGACGGCGATTATAAAAAAAAGGAAGGAGGGGCAAATAGTGACAGGGGGCAAATAGTGTCACTTTAAATTTTTCCTCTTTCCCGCGTCTATTTTACCACTACTCGTTAATAGAAAGACAGTTCTCAAGCATCTAATCATCTTCTGAAAAAGCCGTAAAAATCAAAAGCCAAATATAGCTAGCGAAGAAGTTTAAAATTTTGCATTCGTGAAAGATAAAACCTTGATCTTTGTTTAATATTTGAAGTTATATTTTCTTAATTGCTAAATCGTTGAAATGAGATCTAACCTATTAATCGTTGAATGAGATCTAACCTATTTTATGTTGTACGGTATCTATTTCCTCTATTTTGATATAATTTCTATGCTTGTATATTAATTTTATTTCTCTCAGTAAAATTTTAAAGGAAAAAGTAGCTCCTGGGGCAAATAATGACAAGTCAAAAAGCTTCTTTAATATTTGAATGATTTTTCTAATTCATTTGGGATAATATGAGATTAGTTACAAGGCAAGATCCAGAATAAATGTGATTTTCAATCAGAAATACTAGCAAATAATGTTACTACTATTATTCATTAATAAATAAAAATTTACATATGGTAGAGTAGAAATTAATATAAATTACCTTATCTAATCAAAATGTCAAAAGAAAGATCGATTAAAAGTTAAGAATTATGTATTT